CAGCCTTTCAAGGCTCTCCCGGAGGAGGAAAGTTGCCCAGGTTGGATTCCATTTTCCCCTGGCATCCCTTGGCCCCCCCTTCGCCTCCCCAGCCCCCAGCCTTCAGGGCCACGCGACCACCATCTGAAGGACGATGTGTGATGCTCCCTGGGCCCCAGCTCCTGTGTCACCTCCAGCAGGCATGACCAGCGGAGCCGGCCGGGCTGTGGTGCTGGTGAAAGCAAGGGGCCCGTCCCACAGAGGCGACTGACCTCCTCCCTCTCCCCTTCTCTTTCCTTTCCCCTCAGTTTCCTACTTCGGTCCCTCTTCTGCCCGGTCCCAGCCGTGGGTCCCAGCAATGACTCCTTTTGCAGCCGGTTGAGAGACCTTTGCACCTCAGGTGTGGGAAGGGCTCAGAGGCCGCGCCTGGTCAGGAAAGCCCCTGCCCCATCTCTCTGACCTCTTATGCGCCTCCTGGCCTTCTTCCCTTCCTCTGGCTCCTGGGGACTGGGACGCCCCACAGGGCTGTTTCCTCCTGGTGGTCCAGACCCCTCCCCCCCTACCCACTCCTCGGGACAGGCCCACACTGCCACTCACCCCTCCTTCTCCAAGCCCCTGGGACAGAGCCTGTGCCTCTCCCTGGAGACTGGTCCCTCGGGCCAGCATGCTCCCTGGACAGCACCCTTTCTCCTCCTCTTGGCGGGCAGCTACACCAGGCCCCAGCTGAAGAGAGGCCTGCTGGAGATTTGGGGCCCTGCTTGGGTCTCCTGGGGGTGGGAGTGGGGCACTGGGGTGTGGGGGGGCGCCTCCATCTGTGCCGGTGGCAGCCGGCCAGGCCGGGCAGGGAGGTGCCGCCTGCGGCTCTCCCAGGGAAATGTGATTTCCCCGAGTGAAGCGGACTGTGCAGTGTGGAAATTGGCTCTTTTCTGAGTGAGCGGCTGTGGCAGAGTCTGCGGGCTGGGCCGCGGGAAGCCGCGCTGGCCCCTGGGGTGCGCTGGGAGCAGCCATGTGCTGAGAACTCATTAGGGATAAATCAAAGCAGCACCAGCATGGAGCCAACACCCCCCCCACCCCCGCCCCATGGTGCCCAAGACCCCCACTGCCCCTCCTCCTCCCCAGCCAAGCACCTCCCGGGTCGGAGAGCTGGCCACGCATCATAGTCAGACACAGGCCCTGAAATCCAAGAGCCAGACCTGTGTACTTACAAATAAATGTTTGTTTGTTTCATGTTGGTTTGCTTTTTTGGGGGGTCGGGTGGGGGGATTCATTGGTAGCAAGCTTAACTGACAACAGAGGCCTTGCTAGAGCCTGAACTCGGAGCTCACCTTCCACCAACTCATCTTCCCTCCACCCTCCGGCTGCCTTTCCACACCCTGCCCCAGCCTCCCGGGCGCCAGGGGGGAGGCCCAGCTGT